ATGGAGCTAGGCCAAATACAGAGACTTATACTATGGTGCCCTTATTCATGGCTTTGGGCCTAAGCTGTTCTGATTCAGGAACTCCATTGAATTTATCTATGGGCAGTAAAACCAAAGACAGTTGATACTTGATAACTAACCTCGAGAGAATCAGTTTGTATTCACAATGCACATTTCCAATAATTATTATCTAGGATTCCTCCTTTGTTATCAACGTAGTGGAAGAAATGAATTTAATAATTAGTACACGCTTGCTCAATACACTAAAGGAATAGATTTATAAAGTATTTCAAGCAGGTTGTGACAATCTAGAGCATTGTTTGGCTTCTTTAAAAAACTCTTAGAAATAGATCTGAAAAGTGAGTTTTTACCTGCATACAAAAGAGCCAGACCTTCAAAAGAAAGGGGCTTTTAAAAGAGAGAAAATAAATGATATTTATAGCTATATTTCTTACATGGCAGTCACATTCCAATTGGATAATGTTTTAATCTGTTTTGGCAGAAACTGGAAATTCCTATTTTTAATTAGGTAAAGAAACAAACAAAAAATGGGATCTCAAGGAATAATTTTTGGATGCTCTAGCCATTCCTAATGCCTGCTGTTCTTATAATTAATGCCTAGTTTAATAGTGCCTGCTATGAGGACTCATTTAGGAAATCATAGCTTTTAGAAATAATGCATCATTTCTTTAGAAATATAAATATTTTATGAACTGATGACAAATAAACTGAGAGCAAATTGTGATTTTGGGTTTTTTTCCCCTTAATTCTTACTCAAGCTTTAGTATGCCTTTTTAATGATAGGATATATTGGTTGTTATACAAGGTTACTCTCTTTTTTAAATTCCTCAGTTAATACTAATTGTTGTACTATTCACTTGTCATTTTTGTAGACGTCATGAATTGCTACCTATATATGTTTGCAAAATTAAAACATTCGACATTGATGCAGCATCGAAAATGTACACTGTAGGGTGTTAGTAGGTAAGACGCAATAGGGTTCTGTGGTTAAATGCTTTAGAAATAGACAGTGATATGCAGTAAGGCAGATTTCGTTACTTCAGAATTTCTCAAAGCTTTTAATATGTTCATGTGCATGTGACTCTCCAAAGGGCATCAGAGCATACAGTGTTTCTCAAAACGATGCAATCAGGGAATCCTTTTATTGGGGAAACACTGCTACGTATTTTGCATTTTTAGTGATCATCGTGATGTTTTCTTAGTACTCTAACATCACCAATAAGCACATTGAAACATCCCAGTGAGGTTATTAGGATATGTTTCTGTAAGTGGTGGTTAAGGCCATACTTTTTTTCTTGAGCTGCATCCCTATTTTTGTAAGCACATCCTATGGGGGTTTAGGGTATACTCTATGTTCTTATCAGGACCTATTAATCTCTCTCCCAGCTCCCATCGCTATTATGCAACCATCTGCATGTCATTGGGCTTATCCGTTCGATTAGGAACTCCTAGGGGCAGGGACTTGTGCCCTCACTTTGTTTTCAGCAACTTGAACAGTGTCTTGCACATCCCTGGCACTCGGATATTTTGTTTTCAGTGGAGTAATAGCCACTAAATTTCAAACCAAGGCAGAATTTAGATACATGGTTAATATCCTTCAACTAATCATAAGATTCCTTACATTTTTAATTTTATTAATTCATCATTAACATTTTGGGACTATGTGTGCCCAGCAGACGTTTTGTTTTATGTTTAGCAGCATCTTTTCTAGACATCAGTGAAAGTATCAACCTGCTTGATGGGGGTGGAAGTGGGGAGATGAGAATGGGATACATGAGGACTGTGGGGGACAAGGGTGGGCTTACAAATATCCCAGGCAGCATTTGTGTTTTCTGGTCTGAGAACAGAACTAAGCTGGAGGCAAATTGCCAGTTTATTTCTCCTAATTACCCATATACAAAATTCAAAACAGTACCAACAGAGGTTATTTACAAAAGACTATCGGAACTCAATCATATGTGTCAACTGTTAATATTCTAAACTATGTCGAAATTTGAAGGCCACCAGAATGAGAAATTAGTGTTAAGTTTGTAAGTTTATGCAAAGTGCAAATAAACTGCACATTTCTAAACAAATGCTTAGGAGGGTACAATATCACATGTGCCCTACTCATTTGATCAAAGTGAAGAACCTTCTATATGTTGTGTGCTCTTCCTGCTATAACAAGTCAGTTTGAATAAATGTTCCTCTGAGCAGTTACAATAGCTATCTTTTTTTTTTTTTTTTTAATTTTTGGAAACGGAGTCTCATTCTGTCACTTCAGCTAGAGGGCAGTGGTGAGCTTCCTGCCTCAGCCTCCCCAGTAGCTGGGACTACAGTCATACACCCCTATCATGCTGGGCTAATTTTTCTGTTTTTTGTAGAGATGGGGGTCTCACTCTTGCTCAGGCTGGTCTTGAACTCCTGACCTTGTGATCCTCCTGCCTCAGCCTCTCAGAGTGCTATGATTACAGGTATGAGCCACCACACCCAGCCATAATAGCCTCTTTATTCCATCTCTCATCTAGATTTTTTTCTTTCCATTTTATTTATTTATTTTCTACTGTTACTATCAGTCCTGAAGTCTTAGGATTTTGGGCTCAGGCATGCCATTATTTTCCTATTCGTTTTGTTTTCTGAATTGTTAGCTTGGGGTGGAAGGGATTATCTTCTTGACCTGTTTTAAAAGAGGGCCTTGCAAAGAGGATATCTCCTTTCTGTTCCACTGAGGCAGGGGACATGATGCCTAAGGAAATGGGTATTTTATATTCTGGCCCTAAGTCCTCTGCTTTGCTTACCTTAAAGCAGGGATCCCCAACCTATGGTGAGGTGTATAATTATTTCATTATATATTACAATGTCATAATAGAAATAAAATACACAATAAATGTAATGCACTTGAATCATCCTGAAACTATCCCCCGACCCCAACCTGTGGGAAAAATGGCTTCCATGAAAACAGTCCCTGGTGCCAAAAAGGTTGGGGGCCACTGCCTTAAAGTTTATATTTTGAAACATAATGGCCTCGATTCATTACCCTGTCTGTTACTATAGCCTTTGTCATATGACTTTGCAGTTTCTCTCACTAAAGAGATGGAATGTATTCCCCATACCCGGCCTTATAATTTGCTTTGACCAAGAGAATCTGGCTGAAGGGATGGTGCGCCAGTTTTCGGCAAAGGCTCCATTTGTGCACACTTCTGCCATTGCATGAGAGCAGCCCCAGGTTGGCCTGCTTGTGAATGCAAGAATCCAGCCAAGAGGATTCCAGCCGAGGACGGCATCCTAGGCTAGCCATCTCACATCAGTCAACAGCCAGTGAAACTCCAGACACAGGAGCAATCCAGCCAAGATCGGCAGAGCCCTCAGGCAATCCAAGGCTGGTCACAAATGTGCGAGCAAAACCAGCTAGGGTAAGAAGAGTCCCGTCCAGCAAAGCCGAACCCCACATCCCAGGAGCTAAATGTTTGCTATTGACATTTTGTGGCTGCCATGCAGCGTTCTTGTGACAATAAAGAGATACTGATACCACAGGTATTGGATATATTAATAATATGATTGTGATTGTCTCCTGCCCTCTGTAGCAGGCTCATTCTGGTCACTTAATTTGTCTCACAAAAGTACAAGCTGATGTCATATGTCAGTGAAGTGTTTGGACCTTACTTACAGGTTTAAGTAGTAGTGTTAATGGTGGTTTACTATATTTTCATTGAAGTATCAATTAATGAACTTAGAAAGGCCTCTGAAAAAGTTGGTCTACTGAAATAGTGAATGTGGGTAGATGGAAAGCTATCCAAGAGTAAACTATTTAAAATATATATAATCTCAATGGTATATAACAAGCTGAAGGCTTAGTATATATTTATGTGTATATATATATATATATATGTATATATGTGTGTGTGTGTATATATATATATATAGTATATGTATAGTCCATTTTGTGTTGCTATAACGGAATACCACAGACTGGATAATTTACAAAGAAGTTTATTTCTCTCATTTCTGGAGCTGGGAAGTCTAATATGAAGGATCCAGTATCTGGTGAGGGACTTCTTGCTGGTCCTCCCACAGTGGGCGGCGAAAGGGTAGGAGAGTGCCTGAGACAGAGCAAGAGAGGACCAAACTCATTTTTCTAACAAACTGGCTCTGGAGATAACAAACCCACTCCGGCGATGATGAGGATCCATTCATAACCTCTACCCTCATGACCCGATCACTTCTTAAAGGTCCCCTTTCTAGACACTGTTCCACCAGGGATTAAATTTCCAAGACATGAACTTTGGGGGGACACATTCAAACCACAGCAGTATAAAAACAAAACTTGTACATTTGCTCTCACTTGTATTTTCAACTACCTACTCAACAAATTGTTGGGGACTGTTTCCTTAGGAATGCTTTAATGTGAGTAGTACTTAATGGTAGATAGGATGTTGAAAATGTTTGCTCATCAGAATGCATCAGTTTTCTTTAACAAATTGTATTTTGGGTGATTTCTGTATTTCATTGAGAGCTTTAATTTTAGAGTCAAGTAACATGATTCTTAACACTGTTTCCCATTGGATGGCTTCAGAAATCGATTAAAGCTACTACCAGAGTAGTTAAAATCCAGTGCATAGATAAAAAGCACAGTATTTAAGAGCATGAGGCTAAAAGTGGATTTGAAAGGGTGAACTAAACGCCAGTAACATCTAGTCATTAAAACAAAGGCACAAGAGGCTTTATGTACACATTTTTAACATCCAATATTATTATTTTTTCCTACCAATAAGCCTTCTACCTTAAAGGAAATTGAGAATAATAAAATTATACAAATGGTAAGAGAAGAGAGAAAGAGAGAGAGAATGAAAGCAAGAAGAGACTATATTTGTGTGTATAAGCCAAACTATAGGAAAATATGTAGATTTGTGAGGCCACAGGCTGTCTGTTTTATTTTCATGAATGTACATTCAAAGCTCAGATTCTATCAGTGAACCCGGCTGAAGAATATCAAAGTCATCTTGTGTTAAAATTATATTTATTCAGGATGAAAAATACAATATGTAACCAGATTAGATGATACTCTGTGGTTAGTTCTTTACCACATATTTCAAAAGAATTACATATTTACTTCCCACTGTTACTGCAATATATTTCTTTTTATTTATTAATACTTAGAAGAATACAATGTAGTGTTTTATGGAGCTTTTTCTTAATAGCAGATAGAGGACATTTTGCATACAAATACAGGCAGGAAAAAAATTAACACGTGACTTTTCAAAGTAAGAACAAGGAATACACCAAATCTACAACTTGTAGTTCAGGGAATTTTTTTTTCTTTAAATAGGTGCTTTCTTGGGCATGACATGGCCCGATAAAAAGCTCTAGACTTTGCAGATTGCAGCGGCATAAAGCTATTTCCAACACAAGGGATGAAGATGGATCTGAGGTAGAAAGGTGGTCATGGCTTTCCTCTTATATAAAACAATTTTCTTCTTCTCAAAATATCTATGCTGCAAATAGACACCCTTGCCCCCCAACCCACCCAAACTATTCTAAAAGAATAGCAATTTCAAACTTTAAGCCTCCTTCTGGCAAGATCCCAGTTAAAGAGAACCCAAAGTTAAAATGTCTTGATGTTTTAAAAGTACATATGCTTGACTAAAAACATATTATTTTCACTTTTTTTTTTTTTTTGGTTTCTCTACGTTTGATAATTAAGTAACATGTTTAAACGTAATCAATTAAATGTTAAGTCAGAAGTTGAACCAAATGCCTAACTGAATGTGCTCAAAGGTATAGGCAGAGGTACCACGATCTAAGCGTTAACTTCATTCTTCTGTAGAGGCAGTGACATAGGCTTTCCATAAACATCCTTTCCCAAGTATACTGATCAAATGAAGGGTAATAAAACATCTATTCATTCAGTGAAAAGGGTAAATGAGAAAAGCACTAAATTTGTGTCTGCTTTCAGAAAGAAAACAACTAGGAGTTTCGAGAATTATAAAGCACTTGAAAATACAAAACAACAATAAAACTCTCTTCAAAGGGAACTAAAGACAATAATGTGTTCTGGTATTAAAATAGGTAAAGGTCTGCTGTGCATTTAATGATGAAAATCAAGACGTGGGAACAAGGAAAGGTTGTACCAGTTTTGTTTCTATGTCAAAATGAAAATATGCTTAAATGGGCAACCTTTGGTAAAATGATCTTTGAAATTATTATAATGCAGTCTCCTCTATCATATAGACTGGGACATAAAATAAATAAAGAAATTAAGACCTACTTATATAAAGAAGTGAATAAAATGCAGGAAAAAAAAATCCCAATAGAAATGCCTTTTAGGCCCACAGGATTTTTATTGTGGTTATCCAAGTGGTCACCAAAGAAGTAAGTATATGATGTCAAATAAAGTTAAACAATATACACAGGGCTGTAGCCTAGTCTCTATGTGTGTGTGTGTGTGTGTGTGTGTGTGTGTGTATGTGTGTTTGTATTTGATTGAAATATATGAATTTGTTATTTGGCCAAACCATGGAAACAAATACATTAAATCTATTTGGTCATGTGATTTGTGAATTATAAATAACCAAAACAATATGGTAAAAGAATCAAAGAAATAAATGAAGTTATTGTACAAAGTTAATATGAACAGCGGAAGGAATGTAAAAATGAAAAGTGGTCTTCTAATTCTTATGCAATTTTTTGTCACGGTTATTAAAAAGACGGTATCATATTAGAAAGCCCCACCCACTTTCCCAGTGCTGTGTACATTATACAAATCAGTGACAAATGTATTTCCATTTCCAAATACCTCTCTGTTCATTAATTTACAGTTGCATAGAAAGGGAAGAAGAAAACAATAATATATGGTTATTATAAAAACAAAATATCCTTTTCTCTTTGGATAGTCAGTGCTCCTTCAGTAGAACACACAGTCAGTGCTCAAAGCATGGGTCAGGTCGCCACGGAGCTTCTGATTAAATGAACTTGGAATTGGCATTTGCTGAAAAGGGCAATACTGCATGTCAGGAAATGTTGGTTGGCTGGATGAATACTTCACATTGCCTGCGGGAAGGGAAAACAGCACTGTCAGAACAACATTTTCATAAATCATTACAGGTAGCAGCGATCTGTCAACTCTATGAGAAAATAGAAGTGCTTCTTTCAGAAGGAGTCGAGCCTTATTTTGCTCTGTCCAAATGGGACCCTTAACTCCCTGTGATGAGGTCATTCCCTCTCATCCAGAAGTTATCTAGTCTGCTTTTTACCACGACAGCTCATTTAGAGGAAAGTCTGGAAGTTTCTTCTCTTGCCTAGGCTGGAAGCCAATTGAAATTGAGAGGACTTGGCTTCTTTCTGCTGAAGGTACCAATGGTGACTGAATTAGGCTGTTGCAACCACGCTGTCTCTCCCTGACAGACGGTGGGAGGTCTCCTAGAGAGCAGGTACCTTCACAATCCCAACCCATCTCAGTCCCAAGCTGCAGGCCAGAGAAGAGGAAGTGAAGACAGGCATTGCCATCCAACGGTGTTGCTGCGGTGCCACTTAAAGTTAAATGTCCCCGGCAAGAGAGGATGTAAATCCAGGCCACACTCAGGAAGATAGTAGCAGCCTTTCAAAGGGAAGGTCAAACAGTTGGTCTTTTAAAATTATTTTGAAATTAGAAAAAATATCACAATAAAATGAAATCATCCAAATTGGGCCATGCCTCATACATCATAGGAGCCCTTTCAGGACTCCCAGAAAAGACAATATCTGTCCTTACCCTTTGTTTTATAAAGACTTTGGCACAAAGTCCCCCTTTCCTGGAACTGTGTTCCTAACAAAGCTGCTGGAAAAGCGCCCAAGAGGCTGCTCCATTTCCCAGGTATGCAATGAGCAGCAAACTCAACACTGGCCTAGAGTCTTTTCTCCATCACTATTCGAATTTGGAGTCTCCAGGCACTTGCTTCTGCATTTTGAACGTGTCATGGCCATGTTAGAGGGAGCGAAACCTCAACGAACACTGATGGGGCCCACTGGAGTTTTGGCATTGTACTGAGGTGAGGCCCTCCCAGAAGCAGGTGCGAGAGATACCTCAGCAACACAGCCTCCTTCCATTCTAGGATGAGGTAAGCGCTGACCATAGTAATGCAAAGTACTTTGGGAACAGAGAAGGGAGAGATCCAGTCTACTTGGGAAAGGAACTTGTTGTTACATATTAACATTGGTAACTAAAGCTTTGGTGCCGATTCAAGTTGAAAAAGAAGGCTAAGAAGATTTTTGAGTTATTTCTATGCACTCTATTATCCTTGAGAATTGGATGAGTCTATTAATTAGGAGCACGATAATTCTCGTTTTAGGTGTCAGAATTCTAAAAATTTAAGACACGCCATGTAAATATTAGCTCAACTCTCCAGATGAAAACACATGTTTTTCATGAATTTCCATTTGACCCGAGGTGTGGAAAATGAGGAGAAGAGGAGGGAAATGCTGAAGGGAAAAGCAAAGAAAGAGAAAGAATGGAGAGGAAAGAAAGCAAAGAGGAAAGGGGCCTCCTTGCATTGAGTCAGATGATTGCTGCATCCACTAAGTTACTGTATAACCAGGACAAATTTAGCTCTTTTAAACTCGATTTCTAAAATCTAAAAACTAAGTAGGAGGAGAAGGTCTGCAAGATCACTTTCTGCATTAAATTTTGAGCACTCATATTGCAAACTACTTGAGGATTTAAAGGGAGATTCTCTCTCCTCTCCACCACTTGGGGGCCGCCAAGTCTAATCTCATCACACACCTTCTGCTTGTTTTCAATGGGCCACCATAAAATGCTCCAGACCCCTTGTCACCTTTCATCACTTTTTGTCACCTATACTTTGTTCCTCATAGAATCTGCACACTGTGTCCCCACGTATCACCCTGTGTAGTGCTTGAAACCCTTCCTCTGTGCCCCCAGGTCCCGTGGTTCACAAGTCGCAAAACCCATGTTCCTGAACTCTTCTTTGAACGTTGCCTTCACTTGCTGCTCAGTCTAATCAATGTCTGGATCTCCGCACACACAGCTTCCCCCTCGGCCCTCTCACACAGGACTTCCTCCTCCCACACTCTTCACACGCTGCACGAGCTCCCTCCTCCACCCTCATGGAGCCTTTCAGGGTATCTTTTTTCCTCTTCTTCCTAAAAACACCCAAGCTCTGAATCTCATGTCATCAGACTATACCAACCCATTATGCAGTCCTCTACTGACCTTTGGGTCATGTTCTCTAACTTCTTTAGGAAGAAATGGCTCAATGTCACCTGCTCTAAAGCTATGTTTAAATCGTGGTGATTTCAACACCCACGTAGATGATTCTTCCAACACTCTGGCTTTGGTTCTTCGAGCTTTCTTCCTCCAGTGATCCTGTCCTACACCCGTCTCGGTCATTCACTCAAACCTCCAAACATGGACCATGACCAATACTTGCAACTCTCTTAATTTCAATTTCAATCATCCCACCTTCTGACAATCATCTCTACCTTTCGGGCTTACGACCGCAAATCCATCCATCCACTGATACTGCCGTCCATTGACCCTCCTCCCCTCTTTATTTCTGTCTCCCACACTAGACGTGTCCTCACTTCTCTCGCTACTGAGTTTGCACATCTGGTTCAATCATTATAACCATGCTTTGCCTCTTTCCTTGAATCACTGTACTCACTTCGCCAAACCACAACTTCAACTTTGGATAAATGCAACACTCAGAGAAGGCTCTGGTGCCTGTGCTCATGAAATGGAACGTGGCTGCAGGGCGACACACAGCCCTGCAGACTGGCCTCAAGCTACATGCATGCATGGCCCCTTAAGTGGTGGCCTTTAATGCTGCCTGTAGTCGCACTCTATTTCCCAGTCCATCTGCTCTCCTGTTCTCCTAGCAGCTCTCACACATCCTCCAGTCTCTCCTCACACCTCTGACACCTCCCGCTGAAAGCTTCCAATTCACTCCGACAACAGAAGCAAGCAGAAGAGGACACCCACAGCTCTCACCACTTCGCTGGTCTCATTCACACACCCCTGCCTTGCAGTTAAGGTCCCAGCTCCTCCTGCCAATAAGACAATGAATCAGAAGGTTCACTGTTTCAAAAGATTTAATAAGCAAGTTCATGAAAGACCATGGTCTCCAAAGAGCTACTGTGGCCTTGTGGCACATTATTACTAAAAGTTTCCGATAAGAAAAATGCTGAAAGGCATGAGGCTGTAGCTGCCAACAGTTTTCAGCAAATTTTTAAATACAAAATTGAACTTTTCCCCACTCAGAGTAACAAAACCATCCTTGTGGTACTAGTCACTTTTTTTTCAAGTGAATGTTCCGTGATAGCCACCTTAAGTAGACATTTGGGCCACAGCAGTGGCCAGACCTATCTAGAGGAACTTTGCAGGCTTTGTATAAGATTCCAATAAAAAGCTGCTAGAACAGAGGCTCAAACCCATAATACGTTTGGTATTTGGAAGAACCTGGCTTGGGAGCCACCCCCTCCCACTTCCTTAGACTGACAGTGGTACAGAATCAACTAACATTTAAATGTCAAACTAGTTTACTTACATAAAGAATACAGTAGCAGTAAAATCAGTGGTAGCTAATCTGCTTACTCTAGGTTGTGATCAGTAACAATTAATCCAATCAACTCATTAGCTCTTACCTGTGGCCTGCTGGGGACATTTGCTGAAAGAGAAAACAAAAGAAATAAATTGGAGGTTGTCATACTGTTGCTTTGCTGGTTCCAACTTTCAGGCATGCAAATGTGTGGAATGTACCGCTCTGAGTAGGATAATAGCCCAGCTGCTAAATGGATGCTAACAGGAAAATAAGAAACAGGTTTTTGGTGGGGTTTTTTCCCCTTGGCTAAATACTTTAACAAGGGCTAGCTTTTCCTAGTTAGTTTCTCATATCCCACGTGATTTAAGATTTAATATATACACTAAAGCATTCAATGAGCACTCAAGTCTTGCCAAAAACCCCTCAATGTTTCCTATTTAAGTCATGCTGTGTATTTAGTTTAGTTTGTATGTATCAGAACAGAGCAAGTTCTGTTTATTTTACTAAATAGTACCAATTCTAACTAAGGCCAATAGAGGCATGAATCTTTGGTTTCTGCCACCCTTGGCCCACCCTTCTGCCCACGTTGGCCTGGGAAGATGGTGGCCAAATGCTTGCATCAAGAGCTGGCTTACTCCCTGGCAGCCTTCTGGACACTTGGGCTAATAACAGTGCCGTGGAGGGGCCCAGTCAAGGAGCATTGAGAAGATAGACTGTGATGTCTAATTCGACTTTGTACCCGGGTAGCTCAATTCCTTCCTTGTTCCAGAGCCCATGACAGTGAAGAAGATCTGGCAGGCTCTGTGAGGATCTCTCTAAAATCTCTTCTCCAAGGCCTCTGCTGTTCATCCCTCCCTTTCACTGCATAATTATCTCATTCTCAACGGGGGTGGGGGGGGAGATTCCCCCACCCCCCAATAATGGCGACATCTATTCTTGGTCAAATAAGAATTGTCCCTAATCATAAAGCATGTTGCACTCCTTCAATCTCTCATCTTTCTATGCTGAGGCAGCAGGGGGGAGAAAAAAAGATATCAGTGACCACATTCTGGGTACCAGTAGCTTTGTGAAAAAATAAAAGCAGGTGTGAAGGGTGCCCTTCCTCTGATACCTGGAGGGAAAGTGTGAGCCCCAGTATTTGGGGAAGCAATCAGGCTAAAATTAGCCTTGTCCTACCAGATATGTAAGTTACATCCAGAGAAAAAGACTGGACCTCCATATGTATGTGAGCTACCTGAAGAATAGCTGAGTTGAATTATTATTAAGTACACCATAGGTTTATACATTCTTTCTAAAAGAGACAGAGATATGATTCTCTTGTAAGAAACAAATATATTTAATAACAAATAGCAATCCCTAGGTAAAAGTCTAATCCATTTTGCTCCAAACCAATACTTTTAAGCCTACAGCTTTTTTCAAATAAAAGGCTATGGGTATTCCCCTGGACAAATCATACAAACATATTTTAAAAGGAAATCATTGCAAGTCAGTGGGTTTTCAGTTTTTGATGAATGTCATTCAAGCTTAATAAACATAGGCAATTCACAGTGAAAATATGCCTGTGGGTCAAAAATAATTTTAAAAGCATTTCTTGATTTATCAGCAAAAATTACTTAGCTTATTAACAGTATCCCATATATTTGAAGGACATAAATGAAAAAAGTGACAAAAAATTTTACATTAAAAAAGAAATGGTTACAGTAGTCGATGGGAATTTTAGTATGTACACTGTTTAATAGGCAGCACAATTAAATTCCCATCATCAACTCTTGCCGGGAAGAGATGGAAATGCCTGCCTCTCTGCCTCTCTGCTCTGAAACTCAACATAAATAATTTTAAAAGACTTTAAAAGGCCATAATTCAAGGATAGTATCAGGACCAACTGGGATATTAATTCAGATGAAGGAATTCTAAAGTGTTATGTGCAACAATATGTAGACACAGTTTAAAAATGTCATGTTAAAGAAAGTAGGCAATTCATGCAATTAGAATTTATGAGTACAGTTTCATTTTAATTCCAAGATTGCCAGGAATGGAAATTCATTTGGGGCCATGCTAATTTTTAATCCACAAAGGATCAAAAGTCAAGATTAACATGCAGATCAATTCATTGTATGCTGGTGACAAGCAATTTTAAAGTTCTCATTAGTTACAGGGGCTCAAGGGATTGGCTTGGCTTTGGGAAGGTGCCAATCCGATTTGTTTGGGTAAATCCTCCAAAGGTGGTCAGTAAGCTTTGGGAATTGCAAAGGCTTATTAAAATATTTGCTAGCTGGGCAACTTAAAAGAGGCAACAAAACAAATGAATCCTATAGAACCTTCTGAGCACTATCTGGGAAAGCTTCAACAACTAAACCTTCCCAATTAGAAAATGTAATCAATCATTCTTCACTCATTCATTCAGTCAAAAAACCTGTATTGAGGGCCAAGTCTAACTCACATTCTGGTTTCTATTCTGCATCAATTTTTAAAAGGTTTAGGCAGACTTTTAAAATATGTGTCAATTTTACAAATAAGTCTTTCTAGAATGCTTGTCCCCATCTTGGATATTTGTATATTAGCAAAGCAAAATATGAATATAGATACCGAGAAGAGCAAACTAAACCCAAACTAATAGCAGAACTGTCAGAAGCCAAAAATAATCATCTAAATGGCAAAAGATTCTACAATACACTATTCATCATTTCTTACATGGTATGTATTTGAATTCTTCACAATAACACATGACTAGTGATGTTCATTCACAGAAAACTATAAATATTATAAATATTTGTGAATGTACAAAGTTAAGACTATGAGAACATGCAGCCAGCTTCCCATTAAGGAATCTCAGGACTCCATCAACTACCTTCTACCGTCTAAACATGGCGAATGACACAGGTATGGAGGATACCACCCTCTAAACACGGTGAATGACACAGGTATAGAGGATACCAACGCAAGGGAGAGGTTTAAGCTCTGTGCTGTGGGTCACAATGAAGATATATACTCTTCTCAGGAACCAATATGCATGAATTGCTAATAAGGTTCCCAGTCAACAGGAATTTTATACTTGCCTTTAAAGGAGAGCTATGACATGAAATGAACATGTTTACCTCTTAAGATTCATCTTTGCACTATCGTTATTTATTTTTAATTATAGTCTGTTTTAAAACATGACATGGATCACTCTTTTACAAAATCTAGATATGATAATACACTTTGAAAAAGATTTAAGAGTAAGTGCTTTAAAAAATGGAACTTGTAAAAAAATCACAAATGTTTAGAATAAGTTTTAAATATGGAAATTATACATTTTATAGTCATTATTACACGGATTATATTTGAACATATTTCCCATCCTAGCTGTCACTGCCAACTCACTTTTAAACTGAAAATGTCCACCCTGGTATTTAAATAAAAACTTCCAAACAGGCTTTGATGTACCGAATTTGTTCTTGACTAATTATTAATATATTTAGGTATAAGCTGAACTAAAAGGTCATTTCACTTAGAAATTAAATTTTCAAACGCTGGTTTATAAAGACTAGGAAGAAGTTTCATCTAGGCATTAAGTGACAAACAACTGAGAACCAAAACCTCTAAAAAAAATTTCAACCTTGAATTATAATTAACATAAAAGATGTAATCTGTTCGTCTATGATGTGCATGGTGGTTACAGGGCAGAAAAAATACACAACAATCTAATAGCATGGGGGCATCCACTGACCCTCTTAAGCTTTTGCAGGACTCTACAACGGCAAAAGTGTATACATGTGTGCGCGCTGACAGACTGTAAATGTGATTCTGCAAATCGTAAAGAGCTGAATATTAGAATTACACATGAAAACCTGGGAAATGATACACTCAAAAATGTAAATAGATATATTTATGTGCTTGTGGAAACTAATATACCCTTTAGGCAAATACTCCTGAAAATTTAGAGAGAAATATGTTTGAAACAGTTGTCTTCACATTCTGCTCAGAATGATATTTTTAAGCTACAGTGTAGTATAAAATGAAGGGTAATTGTTAATGAAGTCAATATATCTTACTTATGTATACTCTAGATAATTGATAGTATCTTTTTCCTCATTTAGGATGATATTTTCTAAGGAGATGAAAGAAAAGGTTAAAATGAGAGGCTGTGCTTTATATAAAATCTTAGCTTAGTGACTGCCTAGGTTTAAAATCAGTGTGAGAGGAAATCACCCTACAATTATAAATAATATCTTCATATCCTTTAAAAGATTATTTTAAATATAACTGTAGCATTAAGTAATATGCATATATATGCAGGTAAGTGGTTTTTGTTAGAAACAGCAGAAGTGTTTTAGGTAAGGGCTCAGTAGAAACTGCAAGGTGGTAAGATGCTAAAAAGAAAACATTTGGAAAAATGAATAAATAAGAATCATTATATAATTTCCTCTGGGATTTGGACTATTTTTATTTGGTTATTTTCTGTTTCTTCATATGGAAGATTTACAGGGTCATAATCTGTGATGCCTTAAATTGTTTGGCCTTTATACAATGAGTATTTTATTGCATGAGAAAAGATACCAGCAGGAAAAAAACCGGAAAATCTGAAAATAATCTCTTTCTGCACCAGAATCTGATGCCATGAGAGAACAATGTCTAAAGAAAAGAGAGGGAATTGCATCAGAAAGGCTATTTCCATGCCTTGTTTGGCATGCCGCTCAAAGCTCTTCTTTGAAGTAAGACACATTTCTTATGAGAGCTTGCATTGAAGAAGATAATTTCTTCTTAAAATAAGATTTATTTTTATTTATCTTCATTGTATCACTCATAAGGCATATTGAAAAATCTCAAAGAGCAGGATCTCATTGTCACCGCACGCCGGCGATGTGATTGGTATCTAGGCTGAGCCTCATTTTCTTTCTCAACATATGTAACATTTGCCTTATTTTCAAATATTCAGTCTGGCTTCTAATACCGGATTTTGTTATCTCAGCAAGTAAGATAAAGGGTTGCATGCAGAAAAAGGGAAAGGGAAGGCAAGAGCACAGCGGTGCTGTTAGGATCACTCATACTCACGGCAGCAGGATGGAAACGTGCTGTTGATCTGCTCCATGACCTCCGTGAGGTCCGTGCTGGTGTCGTGTGGCGGGGCCAGCAGGTCCTCTCCCGCTGTGACAGCACATGAAAAGAACGGTAAACTTTCTAAAATTAATGTCTCACCTTCCAGCAAAACCCAAACTCGGGAGAAAATACTACTAGCAGCCTCCAAATAGCAATGGGAAAAGAGTTCCCATTGAGAAGGACAATTTCAGGGAAAAATACCAAAACCAATTTTGTATTAATTTGTTGATAATATAATTTTATATGATTAAAATGTACTAGATGTCTGTGTATAAAGAACTCATGCACCAGGGAAAAATACAAGATTGAAAAATAAGTCATACAGTCATTTTAATTAGCAAGAAATCTATTATTTTACATGGAGAGTATTTTTTCATACAAGAAAAATATTCTACTAATTTTCTTTTTTTTCTTCCTTCTTTCTTTTTGGAGGCTTCAGCATAGGCTAGCCTATCTTACCACAAAAGGAAAGGTATCTAATAAGATACTTCTTACCTTGATGTGCTTTCTGTATTCTTTAATCAATAGATAAAATGACTCTTTTATTTAAAAAACATTAATATTTAAATGTTTCTTCTGATTAATGTAGCTAAAGATCCCACAAATAAGTTAATTTAGTTAAAGTGTGTGGTCCTCAGTAGAATTTTAGAATTTCAATTCATTGACAATAAAATGAATGCCATTCCTGAACACCTAGTTTACTGAGCTTTTTCTAGCATCAGTGACAGGTCCCCACTGTAAGCGGTGACAGGCTAGGTGGGACCTCCGCCTCAGATGGAGCGCGTGGGGCAGTATCTACACAGACTAAAATGGAGAAAAGTAGACAAATGAGTTCCCAGATTTGGGCAGGGAAAACCATAATGTTTGGTATAATATTCTTTAGCACTATGTTCTGAATATGCACAAATGTGAAATTTTATTTTTTTTTAATTATTTTTCTTCCTTTTTTTATATTTTAATTTTTAAAAAATTTTCTTTTTTCTCTTTTTTATTATCTTTCTTGGCAACGGAGCTCATGCTGGAACAAATGGGAAATTTTAGAGACAGAAAATGCACTAAAAAAAAAAAAAAAAGAAGAACAACCATTCTCAAAGCAACTAAACAATTAATTTCTCACTCATCCCTAAAGGAAAAAGATTTTTGCATCTTTCAGCCAAATTTAATCCACCACTACACATTATATAAACAAGCACATTGTAGCTTATTATTCTAAAAATGTTTGCATTTTTGATATGACTTAAATGGATTTGCACTTATTGGAGACCAAAGATAACACAACACTCTTTTATGCCCTAAGGGGCCAGTGTGTAAGAATGCTACTTAACAAGAAAACCAAACAATGGCCGAGCACACAGCTGACTGGGTGCAGTAGCTGTGCCTTGGGGACACCCACCTGCCTGGTGGAACTGCAGGCTGGGATCCGGATCCAGTGGGTAGGTCAGAGCAGAATGCTGCGGCAGGGCCCAGGGGGAGACGCCATTGATTCGGGAATCGGATTCAGGCTGGAATCACATTCAGAGGTAAAAGCAGAGAAAGGATTCAAATAACCGTAAAGTACAGCATTTCCTTTCCATTTTCCCCTCCTGCACCCTGGATAATGAAATCTTACAGAGTTCTTTGCCTTCAGACATTGTCAAATACATTTTAGTCCCAGTAGGGTGGGAGGGGGCCTGGTTCTTCACCTGAGCAGCAAGTGATCCTTCGCTTTCTGCTTGGGGACCTTGAAGAACTAACTCACTTGGTTATACTACAAGATTGATTTATTGGTGTCATTTTCACTCCTCAATTTTTCTATTATTTTTATGTCAACCAAGTGAATTTGGAAACATCTTTCATTCATTTTTTAAAAATTGGCACTGATCTTCTAATACAGAAAATTTATCCAATTTCAAAATCAACTCATGTTTAAAGGCAATATTGGAGAGCGGTTAAGAGCACAATTTTGGATTCAGTTTGCTTGGATTCCAATTCCAACTCTGCCACTCAGAAGCTGTGTAATTCTGGGCACAGATTCTTTATTTGTAAAATGCGGATGGTAATAGTAGTGCCTGTGTCATAGAGTTTTGCGAGGGGAGTGATGAATTACTATTTCTAAAATGATTAGAACAGTCTGTCATGTAGTAAATACTTTGTAAGTGCATCTCACACAAATCTTTGATATGTTGACAAGTATATGATCAAATTAGAAAGTGTAATCCACTATATAGAGAATATGGAAGTTATAATTTTTTTCATGCAGATTTTTCCATTAAGTCTATATTGGTTGAAGCCGGTAGTTTTGCCAGTTTTCACTATCAGAGTTAAATTTTCCATCTACTTCTGGCATTCATCATGCTCAGTCATTAAGAAGAGATACAAGCCCTACAATCTGGGATATACAGAGCCATTTAGATACCTGCTATCTCTAAGAGCATTACTGTGCCATTCTGAAGGCACATGAGCCATTAGGCAGTGCTGTCTAATGGGATGGAGGGAACGGGGGACGGTAAGATGAGTAGAAGAGCCTTTCGCTCTCGTAAGAGCATCAGCAAGCCATGGCAAATACAGGTTTCAAGCACAGCTTCTTCTTGCAGTGGTTCCATATATGCACTAAGTTGTTAACACTAATGCTTCATAATCTAAATAAGAGAAAATCTGTCTCTTACACAGGCACCATTTGGACACTTTAAATTCACAGTAGGAACAACGTAACTTTCCAGTGTATGTGACTGGCATTGAGCTAAGAAGACTCAAACATTCTAGAGGGCCTCCAGAAGGCCAGGACCTGGGTCACTCTTATTTTCTAACGATACAGAACATGGAAGCTCTCAAGGAAGCCTTCCATAAAACAGTCTTGCTTCAATTCTGAAACAGTCAGAGACATAAAGAAAAATATATGGTCAAGCCATATGGTTTTAAAGATATGGTCAAAATATATGATCAAACCTATGGCCCACTGCGTAGGTAACACAAAAATTACACTGTTTTCAATTATTCTGACAAGGTAAAAGGACTCATAGCAACTGGGAAGTGATGGTTTTCCAAAGTCTGAGAAAATCATTGGAGAGAAAGTTGTTTCTGTGTTTAAGTCAATAAATCATTTCTGGAGAAAGGCATTCTTATCACACTGCCTAGAGGCCCCCACACTGCACAGGCTAGAGAAAAAGGCAAAAGATGACACGAATGTTGATGTAGGGACTTTTCAAGACAGAGGGGTCCCTGGCCCCCTGCGCTGGGATTCTACACTGTGAACCTGCTGCAAAGGCTTCTCTGTCACTAGTTCCATGACACAAGCTCTATTCCTAACTGCTATGCGTGATCAATTACTTAATTCTCTACAGTGTGTTGTGTCTTTTACACATGATAGTATTTTGTTATATATACTTGTTATATACGATACTATCTTGTTATAGTTCCCAACAAGACTACAGGCACCAGAAAGGGAGAAACTGTATTGATGCTTCTGTTACATCCCAAAGAATGGTGTTTTCCAAAATTGCAAGCTATTACCCATTGATGAGTTATAGAATCGATTTAGTAGGTCCTGACCGGCATTAAGAAAGAAAAACAGAGAGAAGAAAAATAAAAGGGAGGAAGAAAGTAAAGGAGGGGGGAAGAAAGGAAAAAGAACAGAAAATAAGAGTTGACAGTTCTCTATAAAGGCAAGTATTATTTTGTATTCATCATATATGTATGTATTCATCATAATGTAAATTATATTTCTTATTGTCAAGAAAGTTTGCAAGCAACTGCCATAAAACATGGTACAGTGTTAGGGAGTAACAGTAGCAAATTAATAACCATCTGTCAACTCAATTTCTTGAAAATGGAAAATAATTATTACTGGAGTCAGTGTTCTTGGCTCACTGGAAGAAAGCTTTAGGATGCAGATTTCAGGTCACTTGCTGTCCCTTAATCTCCCAAAATGCTTCCCATGTGTAATTTAGGCAGATATATGTCTTTTCCCTCAAACTATTCGGAGCTGAGATAGATTTCAGTGTTAAAGCAGCATCGGAAATTTCACCGTAAGCTGGGTGAACACATTTTTTGTGCCAGTGAGGATTTAACGCTCACATGTGAAAAGGAAATTTCTAAGCCGGTCTAAATTAACGATGGCAGTGAGAAATTGAAAGTGGACCTCTTTATCTCTGCTGACACCTGGACCAAGCCCCAGGGCAGTGGGCAGGTGGCGTGGGGAAGTGCGACACTGAGTTCTGCACACCCTACCTGCTCCAGCAGCTGTCGAAGGCGGTGGAGCTGAGACTCCAGCTGTTTGTTGTGATCTTCTAAAATCTGCATCCTCGCCTCCAGCCGGCCTTTGTGCTGCCGGAGGAGTTTTGCTTCTGCTATCAGTTCTGAGTCCTCGGACGTGTGGTGAGGAGATGCAATCGAGTCTGGAGGGGAACCCACAGGGAGCCCCCTTCTCAGGTGCTGCTCCTTCAGCTGCTCATATTCCACCTGCAGATTTCTAATGCAGGAAAGGAAAACGGAATTACTACCACGTACACTGTCGTCTCCCCAGAATTGCCTGTGAGCTTTGAATTTAGCTCATGCTATGTCCTCTTACACGTGTATTAACAGTGCGACGGGCATGCGTGAATGAAGCTGTAGCTTTAAGCAAGTGGACATCATCACTGAACCCCCAAACGCTGCTGTATCTGCAGCCAGTATCCCAGTTTGTTAATGTCCTCTAAAACTTCCACTCCACTGTGATTTCTTGTACAATAGTCGTGAAAAGAGAATGGGAAGGGGCCACGTTGAATTTCCTATGAAAGAGAACATGACAAGTTTTCTTCTCCCAGGCCTAGCACACCTTTGTTCTTCCTCCAGGTCAGCAATGATCCGCTCCAGTTCTCCACGCTCTTCCCTCTCCACCGACTTCAGGATCTGAGATGGGCTCTGCGGCTGGCTCACTGGGGACTCCCCTCCGAGCGTCTGGCAGTACTGCTGGATGAGGGCGTGCTCGTCTTCCCTAGTGAGAAAAAGGAAACAGACCCTCACATCTGCACAACGATGTTTGTGGACATAAAAGAAGTAGAAACATGATGATGACCAGGCTAGTGGCTGGGCCAAGTTTGCCTTAGAGCTCAGTGTCTCCATGACTTCCCTTTTAAACCTATAGGAAGAAATTCATCTACCAGTGCATGTATGTATATTGTACATAAGCCAACATTTCAAGCTTTGCCTTAGTCTAACAGCTCTATCTCACAAACCTCAGGAGAGATATTTTACTCAGCAGAGGAAATGAAAATAAAGCACAACACTTGAACAGTTAATATGAAAGATATTATAGGCAAAAATCCATCACCAAATGCACAAAGAGTAGATTAAAAGACCATAGAGTAAGAATAAGCTGACTTCACTGTCTTTAGCATCTGGTTGAAAGCAATTTCAAAATGTACTGTAACCCATAGGATGGGGTTTATAATCCTTATGGGCCTTTATTTAAATTAATAAACACAAATTATAATTGTAGATTTTATAAAATAGCTACAGATATTTTACTTGATCTTATCAGCAGGCCATTTTTAGGGTCAATCATTCTGCATTTGAACAAGAAACTATATTTCATACACTTGGGTTCTTCTACTTATTTAACTACTTAGTCTAATGAACTAGTCCCATATCGCAATAATGTGGTTGAATTAATGATTGACATACATGCAAGTGTAATAAAGTAGACAAAGTTGATAAATTTATGGCAAAGAAATGCTAGTTTCTAGCAGGCCCAGAATGGCTTTTCTTCCTTTAGGGGAGATCTATTCAGATATCCTTGTAAATGTGCAAATGCCAGATCTGCTGGCTAATGCCAGCAGGGGAGTCCTTTAGAAGATTGGTCTGTTTATATGGATTTTGGTAAACAAGTCCCGGAATCTATAGATTTATAAGATGAGACATAAGGAAAACCTCATGTGAGTTATGTAACTATCAGAGTATGAAATGGAGCTATCCCATGACTGAAGCAGTCACCACCTATGTAAGTGACGTGGCTATAAATATCTCTTAGTGACCTCTTCTGTCACTCAGGGGTCATAGTGTGTGCTAACGCAGCCTGAAAGGACCTGCCATATGGTGCTGGCACGTACTGGACCTCTCTCGACTTTCCTTGGGCCTCCAGGTTACTTGCGCCCTTGAGCTCACTAGCACGCTTGATCCCAGGCAAGAGCTCTGGGTCTCGTCAGCCTGACTTCCATCACGTGGATTCTGAAAACCCATCTTGGTGTCACTGCAGTGTACTCTGACAAAGTGGGGACTTGAAACTGTATCTGAAAGTGAGTGAATTCTTAGTAAAGGTTTGTCCTGAGCATTGAGATCAGAGAGAGATAGAGAGATGACGAAGCAAAATGAGAAAAATGAGTATGTTACAGTGATCTGCTCGCCAAACAGACAGAGCGGAGGGCCAGAGGAGCCACCTGTTGATTTATTTTGCTTCCTTTACCAATAAAACTCGCTCCTCTCTCTTTCCTTCTCTCTAGATAGACATAGATATAGAAATGTATATGTGTGTATGTTTATACACATATATATTTAAATGGAGGTCATTCACTTTGGTTAAGATCACAATATAAACACAGATACCTAACTTTACCTTCCTGCTTTTAAAATCAAATAAATTTTAAAAGGGGTTTGGGGTCGGACTCTTACAATATGGTTAGAAACTGGAAATAAGGAACATAACTTGGATAAAGACTGAAGTAACCTACGGCATCATCCTTGGATTCCCTCTCCTGAAAAAAACGCAGTATCGCTGGGAAATAAATGAGGGAACCTCTAGCAGAATCCCATGCTGCTCCTACGTTTAGAAGAGTGGGAGGAAGAGGAAAAGGTGGGTATTGCACCACTGCAGAGAGGAGCATTTGAAAGCAGACCCAAAAGCCCCTCAGATGCCCATGTAGCAAAATCAAATAGAAATCTGACAGGGAGATGTGGAGTATGTGTGTGTGCATTTTCCTAAATGCCCAACACCCTAACCTAGCTGTATTATGCAGGGGCAGAAGCAGGCTGCAAGAGTAATGGCTCACACCACTGGGACACCAATTAGCGAAGGATCGTGAGACACTAAGTCAGTGATGCTTGGAGGTACCTCACCCAGCTCATGTGGGGAGAGAGGCAATAAAAGAGGATAAAAACGACAGAGCTAACATATGGTCAGGATAAATAGACAACAGCAAAATAAGAGTACAATAGAAGATTTTGTGAATATTTCTCAGGATGAAAAAGATCTGTGTATAGAAACTAAAAAGACAGAGAATCTGAAAAATAATAACAAAAGAACATTCATACACATCCCAGGGAAATGTCTATACTTTAACGTTAAAGAATCAGGAGCAATTGGCCAGAAATCAAAATAAAACAGTAAATCATGTTTAGAAGAAGAAGAAGGTTTAAGCCCTATTTTCCATAATATTAAATGTCCAAACACAATGGAGCAATATCTAGAGTCCTAACCTAGCCATTCATATGACCAGACTGGTCATTCATTTACACAGGCAGAACACTTTATCCACATGCCAAAAGAAAGAAAGAATGAGGAAGAAAGAATGAGCAAGAATGAGCAAGAATATAGTACAAAACAGAATAAAAATAGATGGTAATCTCAGGTATTACAATAAATAAGTGGTAAACTGATTCTATACTGGTTAAAAAACTATTAATTATATGACATCTATGAATAATATACATAAACAAGAATAATAAAGACTGAAAGTAAAAGTTAAAAAAAATAAGTAATATAAGGACAACAAGAATTTGAAGAAAACTTAGGTCCTCTAATCTGCCTGGTGATCTCATGGCCATAATTTGACCAAAGATCCTGGCACGAAGCTCCTCCAATATCACAAGGCACCATTATGCTACTTATGCACTCAGAACATGAAATGCCAGTGCCTGAGTTAAGAATTAAATGTAGTCCTCAGTAAACCAACTAAGTTTCTGTTCTAAAGAGCTGAAATTATATTTGAGATGCACTTTGTTGTCAAAATTTACATAGATTCATTTCTCTGGAGAAGTTGATGGGATTTAATGTATTATTATAATTATCATCACCACTATCATTATATTCTTTCATTAAGATATCTGGAAAATAATTAAGGCAACATTCATAAAAATAAAAATTTGAAAATCATTTACATATAATGTATAATTTTAGTTGTGTTTTTCACACATCATTAGGTCTAAAAATTAAATATAAAAATAGATACATTCTAGTTCTTAATTATATGTAATAAAAACCAAGAGCACACTCTTTAAATGCAGAGAGAGCGTGAGTTACCAGATTAGGGTCATTAAACATCAATCGTGTGTCTTGTGCTAAAATAGAAAATGTTGCAAAAATATAGGTCTGTGTGAACAAAACCATTAGATGGAATATGGTTGTACTATAATTAAGTGACACATAGTAAATACTATCTAGATTACAAAATTAGTACATATCAGATGACAAAAGAACTGTGATTTATTCAGTGAGCTTTTGAATGTAGATAGGACATAAATAAAAATAACAAGAATTCCTTTCCTTTTAAAGATTATTCTGTTCCAGCCTTCAGATTTGCAAATTGCAAATGCCAGTGCAAACCACGGCCAGCCTCCCCATTCAATCCTGTCACATAAAACATTGTCATCTAGGGAAGACTGCAGATGGAGTGAGACCACCTGATAGCAGTGGCCGAAGGAACTGTTGTCCTTGAGTTCCTCCTAAGATTCACCAGAACCATCATGGGGCCTGTCCCTTTCTGAAACGTGGTTGCTCAATTCTTCCTTCAAAGATACTTTGTATCCTTACAATCAATTTCCTTTTAAATTTTCCAGAATCAATCTTACACAGAAATAGGGAGTAATGGGCAGGTGATTCTACAGATGGTAAGAAGCCATAAGATCGGTTCACATTCTAGCCCAAGATACATGGAGGTACAACAAATACTAAACTCACTTCCTGAAAGACACAAGCTGTGGGGATCAGGGAATTTCTTCCACAGATCAATTTCAGGGAAAGACAAAGGCACAAACTGCAGGCAGAATGCCTGTTTCTGCAGACCCAAATGAGTAAAAGGGACTTAGATGACTTAGAGAGAATTACAATTCAAATCTCAACATTTTCAACTCAGAGCACAGGGCTTTCCTTTATTGCTGAATGTTGCATGACCAAGATCATCCAAAACCAAACTTAAGAGTCTGATTCTGATCCAGCAGTTTGTTGAATTGTAAAACCTTCTGAACTGAAAACCTAGTTAGGTCTTGAATGTGAAGCTGCGGCCTGGATAGAGAACAGGCAGGACTGGGACAAGGACAGTGATGGTCCCCAGGAGGACTGGATGGACCTGAACATCCCCTGACTTTTTCTCCCTCCCCATCGCCTAGAGAGCCCTCCTTTTACTTGGCAAAAGCAGCACAGTGGAATGGCGAGAGGCACCAATGCCTGGTGCCAGCACACTTGGGTCTGAACCCCAGCTCCACCACTTACTGCCTGTGAGACCCTGGGCAAACTCCTAACCTCCCAGGGCCTCCATTTACTCATCTGTGAAATGGTGCTAACAAAGTGAACAGAAGCATCCTCTCAAAGGGTTTCTATGAGGATTAAATAAACAAAGATATACGAAGTGCTTACAACAGTGCCTGGCTCTTAGTATTCTCTACAGCAAGGAAGTGGTGGTCGTTTTTTTTTTGTATCATCACTATTATTATTCAAGAATAACAAAACTTCAAGAAGTGCCTAGGGGTAAACTAGAGAATTTAAGAAAGAAAAAAAATTTCCAAAAGTATTGTGGAAATTGGCTAACATGCCATTTTTTGCTTAAGGTGCTTTAAATTAGTTTTTAATCTTTCCCAACAACAACAAAAAAATTCTAATACCTTGACATTGGCTACCTCCAGATATAGACCTAAGAATGAAGCAGAAGGCTGGCTTGAGAAGCCCTCACCCCTCATTCAGAAGCTGACAATACCAATATACTGTTAGGTGGTCTGGAAAACTGT